AACTGTTACACTGAGACAATTTTGGGCTCCGTTAAACTTTGCATTATCTAGACAAGTGGATAAGTTTTTCTGTAGTTTTTCCCAACCATCCTAAAAAATGACAGGGAACCGTTCTATTTTATGATATAAATCATACAGTTACATAAAAGCTAAACAATGACCTGTTTTAACACATAAATAGGTCTAGATAAGAGGAATCGTACTGTCGATAATTCCTTGTTCTGTATTTCAGTTAACCTTTAATAGTTTCTTTCCCTGTCTTCTAAAAATGCTCACTGACAAAGTCATCCTTATTTGAACAAGCCACCTCTTCTTTTCAAGAAATACTCCTGAGATAATAACCATGTGACTCCTTTAATTGTCATTTATCCATCGTTGCCCACACTGGAATATGCTATGTTATAAATCAGAAATAAGTTACAAATTTCAAGATTTTTTAAAGTGACAACTATATTGCTTTGTCCTTGGCTTGTTGTATTTTAATGTTTAGGAAAACATAATACAAAATAAAAAAAAAGAAATTGAGTGTTTCTCTTATCCTCACCCCATATCACCCCTTCATTAAATACATTCTGCAAGTCTATTGTTCTGGCATGCTCCTTGCACACTCTCCTTTGTATAAAAAATAAGCCTAAAATCCTGGCGTAGTGTGGAAATGGTTTGCTGCTGCTTTTGTGATATTCCTTCAAGATATCAGTATAGTTATAGATCTGGGTTCTTAAGTGGTCTCCCATCAAAGTACAAACCAGAGAAGGGAGTTGCTAGCTTATATTGAACTTATTTAGAATTTAGAAGAACAGAATTGGAAGGGACATTGAAGGTCTTCTAATCCACCCCCCTGCTTAGGCATGAAAACCTACACCACTTCAGACAAATGGTTATCAATATCTTCTTTAAAACGTCCAGTGTTGGACCATTCACAACTTCTGTGGGCAAGTTGTTCCACTGATTAATTGTTCTAACTGTCAGGAAATTTCTCCTTAGTTCTAAGTTGCTTCTCTCCTTGATTATTTTCCATCCACTGTTCTTGTCATACCCTCAGGTGCTTTGGAGATTAGCTTGACTCCCTCCTTTTTGTGGCAGCCCCTGAGATATCAGAACACTCCTATCATGTCACCCTAGTCCTTCTTTTCATTAAACTAGATATGGAGTCGTGATGGGTCAGACACGACTTCGCAACTAACAACAACAATAAGACATACCCAGTTCCTGCAACTGTTCTTCATATGTTTTAGCCTCCAGTCCCTAATCATCTTTGTTGCTCTTCTCTGCACTTTTTCTAGAGTCTCCACATCTTTTTTATATTGAAAAGTTGGTTGAATATTATCAACTTTTCCACTCAGATCCATCTATCATTTATACAAAGTCAAAATGAAAAAATAAATCTTGAAAACATCTTTAAAAAATATTCTTTATATTTTTAAAATTCAGTTGAAGGGACCTTTGTAATTAATCAACTTATTCCTGAAGTTTCTTAATTGCCAACCTCACACTGTATCTTGGTTGGTTGGTTGGTTGGTTGGTTGGCTTTATTTTTCTTATTGTCTGCGATTCAGAATAAAATAAGACGTTCAAAGTAGAAGCCCTAGAAAGATAGAAATGCAGATTGGAGATCTATGTAAATAAGATTTACATGGAATATGTATTTTCTTCTATCCTTCATTTCCCTGGCAAAGTGTTATTTAAAACTGTAGTGGAGACTGTTGTCTATTGGAGCAGAGGGCACAAATGATTTCAGCTAGCTAGTTTGAGTTTATTGCCTGGTTCAGGTGTATCTAATAAGTAACCTCAAGGTCATTTCCCATCATTAAAAAGGCCATAGTCAAGGAAATGATAGTGAGATCATAAACTTATATTGACACAAGTAATTGTGCTATTGGTTCCTGCTATAAGGAGTTTATTTTCTCCCCCAAACAACTGGGGGAGTAAGTCTTAAAGAAAGTCCCATCTTTGTCAAACCCTGCTTAACTTTAGCTGCTTTCCAATGTAGCTTAGATAACAAAGGACAGAGATGACCTCACAGTTCTTATGTTTTATACAGAGAGAGAAAAAAGCTTCAAATAAATACAGTGAAAAATTGAGTGAGTTTCCTGAATTATCCTTCCTTTACCAAGGACACCCATTATAAGACTAAGAAGCTATACTTGTGTTCTCTCTCTCTCTCTCTCTCTCTCTCTCTCTCTCTCTCNCCCTCCCTCCCTGTCTGCGTGTATGTGTGTGTCTTTCTCTCTTCCTTTTATGAGTATAAATATTAAGTGTTGTAGAAGTTTTATATATTTACTTTGAGAAGGGAAAAAATGATGTTGATGATATGCCATTTCATTTCTGAATGTTGTCAGAATTTGGGGGAATCATGAATTGGAACCAGGTTATCAGCCAAAACAACCGATAATCTTCAACTTGAATTTGCAGAAGCAGCAAATGAAACAACTCCTTTTTCCAGAGCAAAAACTAGCTTTGGTCTTATAAACTTAATTTTTCTATTTGCAAAATAATCTGTGAGTGTGTCTGCAAGGGACAAATAAGAAGTTTCTTCCCACCCAGTGATCCATGGCTCCGAGTTGATTGCCATAAACTCCAATGTGGTCAGAGATTTATTGTAAGTTGCCTAGTTTTACACTGAGGTGTCATATAGGAAATATTAACTAAACTATTATGCCCGTGAAAGCCATAGTTGAAGATTAAGCTCAGTTTTGACTCTTCCCGTACTCTGGGAAAATCAACATCAATGTTATATTGTGCTACTTACTACCATTCACACCACAAATATGGCCTTTTTATATGTATCCTAAACCAGTATAATTTGTACTTATTTAGGCTAACATTAGCTGGTTTAAGATAGCACAGGAGTTCATTCATAAGCAGAGAGACTTGGCTTTTGTACTTTATGCTTTTTTATGGTTCATCGCAGAGTCAGACAAATGTTTAAACTGGATTTGGCATTTTTATCCATCTGTCGAGATATTTCCCAAAACCTGAAATTATAGACAAGAAGACTTCACAAATTAATTAAAATCTACTTTGGAGTTTTCATACACATACCCACAAAATCTCAAGTGCAGTCAAAGTCTTCCATGCAATTTCCTGTGAGTATCTGAGGTAGTGTATGCAAACTGAACCAGCATTTTATTTTGTGCAAATAATTGTGTTTCTCACAAAATAGATTATGATGCTTTTCAGATGGGCATCAGAAAATAGCTCTGATTCCAGAGCCACGCAAAATGAGCCAGAAAAAAAGAACCAGTAATGAATAAGATGCAGGCTTAGAAACAGTGAGGTCTAGTCCTGCCTTAGGTATGAGTGCCAGCTGGGTGATTTTGAGCCAGTCATTCTCTCTTAGACCAATTCATCTTACAAGGTCATTATTGTGGGGAAAATGGGAGGAGGAAGGAGTATCATGTATGTTCACAATATGAGTTATGTGTACAATAATAAAGGTGGGATTTTAAAAAACATCTAAAAATAAAAGTCCCATCATAAAGGCATTCATAGATTTCTAGCATTCAGAACTAATAGCCATAATAATTCTTTCATATATGAATGGCATAGAAAAATCCAAGGAAATAAAGGGCATTCATTTGTCTTTGAACAAATTCTTTGCTTGGATTCTCATTAATCTCAGAACAAGCTATATATTGCACTTGTTACACTGAAGTAATGTTCTCTGTGTGTAAATGCACATCAAGTAGAGATTTTATATTTCCTCAGGGGGCTACTTGTAGATAATAGAATGTCAATCAATGCTGAAAATAGTAAAGCAGAAAATATGATTGCATTGACTGACTTAAGAAACAGAAATAAAGCAGGAGAATAACTTAACAAGAGCCGAGGTGGCGCAGTGGTTAGGGTGCAGTACTGCAGGCTACTTCAGCTGACTTATCTGCAGTTCAGCAGTTCAAATCTCACTGACTCAAAGGTTGACTCAGCCTTCCATCCTTCTGAGGTGGGTGAAATGAGGACCCAGAGTGTGGGGGCGATATGCTGACTCTGTAAACCGCTTAGAGAGGGCTGAAAGCCCTGTGAAGCGGTATATAAGTCTAACTGCTATTGCTATTGCTATCAACAGTTTCTGTCAATCTGATTTATTCACTGCTTTTAAATAAGCAAATTACACCTATATCCATGGGCATTGCCACACAGCATATAACCAAAACCAAATTGACTGTATTATTGGCGGTAGAAAGTGAAAAAGCTCAGCGAAATGGCAAATACGAGGTCAAAAGTTGGACTATGAAAAAATGGAATAGAAAGAATATTGTTGCCTTTGAACTTTGGTGTTGGAGAAAACATCAGAAAATTTCATGAATAGCTAAGGAAACAAATAAACAGATGGATCATAGAACCAATTAATTCAGAGTTCTCACTTCAGGTACAAACTATCAGCCACATATTATCCTGTTTTGGAAACATTAGGCTTATCTCTCTGAATAACTTTATAATGCTGTGGGGAGGGTGAAAGAGAAGAGGAAAATAACCAGCGATGGTTGTGATGAGGCATCATTGGAACAGCTGACAAGCCAAGTTGAACCTAAATCATTTTGAAGAAAGGTGATGTACTCACTAAGAGTCAGCACCTACAATGACCATAATCAATCAATCAATCAATCATTATTGAGTTTTGGAAATATTTTGGAGGGACTACTGTATTGGGAATGTTTGGGGAAAGTCTTTCTTTCTTCTTTATTGAATCGGGGCCACTTAAGAAAACAGCTTGATTTGAATGAAAGGGCTTAAAACTAATTTCTATAACAATATTACTTCTATTTATCGTACACGGGGATTTGGGGCGGGATAGAAAGCCCTCGCGTAGATTTGGACACGACTGAATGGATAACATCACCATCAATTTTGCTTAAAAACCGACCAAGTAAATAGAGTTTTATTTTTTAACACCCAGGGGGCGCAATGGGATTATTCAACAGTCAACTAAAGCAGCTACTGCCTTTTTCCAAACTTTTAAGATAACAAAAGCAAGTGGGATTTTGAAGTAAAGGGATTTTAACAAGGCGATATTATGGCAAGGTCAAATGACTGACTTTTTCGCCGATCGGCTTTTCACGGACTAACCTCCCTCTGCAACAGGTAAATTTGCTGTTTCGATGCAACTCTCCTTAGCTTCTCACGTCGAGTTCAACTTCCCTCCCGCGCGTGTTTTGGGGAAGCTGTGGGGTGTAGAAATTCTGCTTTGATCCCATTTTCCAACATAAAGATAGGGGCATTTTCTTTTCTTTTCTGTAAAACAGGCTTATCCACACGCAGCCGGGAAACTGTTCTTATGTCCAGCAATGGCTTGATAAAATGCATATTGTAATATGTGAAAGTCCATTGTATTATTAAAGATAATAGAAACATTTAGGAAAATTCATATTGTATAACTTTCTTAAATTTTAACTGTGGGGAAATTGTTTGGTATTGTAACCGTGCTATTTGGAAATATATAAATTGCAGATACCCCATTTAGCTGTCCTTATAAAGCTTGAAACTAAATAAGAATGTAAATATAAATATTAGATATAAATTATCCTACATCTAGTTCTAGGAAATATGCCCCATTGAAGACAGTTTAAAATATGTAGATTGGACTGTTTTGTTTATATAATCAATTATCACAATCCTGTCTATACTTAACAATAAATGCCATTTTTGATCAGTTTGTTTCTAGTAATATACTGCATAGGATTGCTGTCTAAGAAAAATATCATGACAAGTAGAAATTTACTGAAACTGCAGATGCTCTATTTCTAATAAAAACCTAAACATTTTCTTTACTATATGTGTCACAGTATATGTAGACTATTAAAAATAATTGCCATTTCCTCTTCCCATTTTTTTAAAGAAAAGTAGTAGATATAAAAATGAAATACTAAAAAAAATATTTTAAAAAAACAATTTAATGGAGAAGTTCTTTCTGTCTTTCAGAGATATATGGTACATTGTGTGATTTCACTTGGTACCACTTGTGCTGAAGAAAAAAAAGTTGGGCAGAATGGCTGCTTGCGATGTATGATGGCTGTGTCACACATATGATCCATTGTATGAAATAAGAAAGGTGCGTGTGAGTTGAACCAATACAGATGAATTGGTGTTTTGCAACTAGCTTTCATAATAGTACAGTTCTCTCAGAGTTCTGTGGTACTTTAGGATATGTGTAAAACTGGAAACTGAATGATTTTCTATTAAAGATTGCAATCACAGCATTAAAAATAAGCATATAAAGTTTTAAAAAGATATAAGAATAAAAAAGGGTAGAAGCTCCAGAAAAGAAAGAGAAAGAAAAGTAAAAATATAGCCGAGGAAAAATAGAAATATATAAAGTGATTTTCACTTTCATCATAACAAATATAAACAATTTTACTAACTTATCACCTTCTATATACAAATATATAACAAATGGTCTTTTCTTACCATATCCCATCTCTTATCTACAAACAAATCCATAAAGCATTGTCGCTATAAACAAATCCATAAACCCTGCCATCTTTTCATTCAGTATATCATACAGGTTATTTTGATAGAATGAATATAACTAGCATTGTGGTCCTCTTTCAGTCATTTTGCCCCTCATTATCCTGTTATATCTTTATTTAATACTCTTTTGTGTGCTTTGAAGTTTTTTGTAAGGTTTACATATTGTTTTGTTTTCTTAATGCAACTTTCAATCTGTGTTGCTCTTAAAACCCCTTTGATAGGGAGAAACAAGCATAGCTTATTGGACAGTCCAAATATTTCCTTTCCTCCTTTTCTCCTCAATGTTTATATCTATTTGCCATATTGCAAATAACTTAATGTTGATTGATTGATTAATAATCCTGTCACATTTTCTTACTTTTAGACAAAGCATACCTACGAGGACATTGTTTTTTATAACCTGATGAGCAGTTATGGGAGAGAAGCAGTGGGGCTTCCCTCTGGTAAATGCTTAATGCAGGTTTTTTTCAAGCTTGGCAACTTTAGAATATGTGGACTTCAATTCCCCAAATTCCCCAGCCACACATCTTAAAAGTTGCCAAGGTTGAAAAGCACTGGAGACACAGGAATTCTGTTTGCTGAGACACACTGCTTTAACCTCAAGAACTACTAAACCATATTCACTCACCAACCAACCTGCAGCTTAAATGTCTGTTTAAAAGTGGCTGAGTTTATTTTAAGCCAGTAACTTTTCTCAGGGTTCTATGAAATGTCAGGTTGAAAAAGACAGTTTATGATCTCCAATCAACCAATCATTTAGATTGTTACAGCTACACTACAGAAAGCTAAGCTGGAAAAGGAGGAGCTTTCATTTCAGCTTTTCCTACCAAAAAACAAACAAACACCAATTTGCAAACTTTTCTGGAGCTGTGCCATTATCAAGCTGGCTCCCTTCAAACCCCCCCCCCTTTATTTTTAAATTGCAGACATAAATTTCAAACATACTACTTTGAGTCATTGGCAAGATAGGCCAATTTGTCTTTGAATCCATTTGGTTCTCTCTCACAGATGATATTATTTTAAGCAAACAAAAGAAAATAGAAAACCAGGGTTCTTAATTTGTTTCATTTCTTAATTCCCTGTATGAAAGTCACAGCTACTTTATAAACTAGTCTTTTCCATACAAAATCTCCCCCAACCCCTTTTAAAAAATAAATTTTTGAGGCTTTGAGATGCAGAAATTCCAGGGGATTAAAATTGACCAGTGTCTCTTTAAAAGTTCCCAGTTCCGTGTTCTAAAAATGTAGAAGGAAATGGTGCAATAGCTTCTTCCCATAGAAACTTTATATAAGGCGCTTTCAGTTTTTTGCTCCTTTAACAACTACTTTAAAGCAAATATTGTAGAGAATCAACATTCCTCAAATTTGAATGTTTCTCTTGATCACATTTAAAATTAAAAATTTGATCCCCTCCCTTTCCTTTGACACGAAACTGCTTTTATGGATATTATAAAATTTTCAGAAACCTCTAGTAGTTTCTTGCCCTATGTCCAAGTGCTTGGCATAAGTCATCTGGATTAAATGGTGTTGTGATATTCACTGTATGGTTTATCTCTCAACGTGTGATGCACGGGAGATCTAAAATGCCTTAAAATCAAGTGTTCCTTTGCTCTTAGGTCATTCTCATTCAGCTGGGGATAGTGATGATTCACCACCTGCATTGAAGTCAGTAGGAGGGCTTTAGTTAAGATCTTAGTTGTCTTAATGAGGTTCTGCCTCCTCTAACGTGTATGATTCCCCTAACCATGGAGTTAATGAGAGAGGATGCCCATGCCATGCACCCCCAGACAGTCTGCCACATGCATAGAGCTAACTCCAAAGTGGTGGTGAAGTACCCTCCAGTATTCCCACTCCCTTTACCCTTTACCCTGGTGATTATTCAGCCTCTTATGACCCTCCTGTCTATCTCTTTTATCCTGGCCTCTATGCCTATTCTCCTTGGCAGACACAGCTGAGCCAATGAAGAGTGCAAAGGAGTCCCTCCATCTGCCACTTTCTATGTGTGCCCCCACTCTAAATATAAATAAGGGTCATTTTTCTGGATCACACATCAGGGCCACGACAAATGAGTCCCAAAGGCTTTGATGCCTATGTTTGGACACAAGCAATTATCTCTAATTATTGTTTTTCTTTTCAGTTTGCCCAACATTAAAGAACCCTGTGAAGCAGCTTTAAAAAGGGAGCTCGGGAGAGTGAATAATATATTTCTTTAGACGATTGGGCCCGGCACATACACCTCCTCCTCCTCCTTTGTAACCTTCCCCTCCCTCAATGTTTCCATATCGATGGAGACACAATCTTCACAAATGTTCAACACATAATATGGATTCGGCTTGTGTGTGGGACATTTTTTTAAGAGCGTCCATGTGTGTAGATGGTTTTTAAGACAAGATGTAAACATTTGTATAAATAAGTTTCAGATGGCAAAGAACACGAGAGAGGAATATCTGTTAAAGGTGGTGAAAGTAAAAAAAAAAGATAAAATTTTAAAACTTGTTTTAAATGTTTAAAATATTAACACTTTTCATGAGTCATAAAATATTAAAATATAGTCAATTTTCTCCACAAGCAAAAAAGTACTTAAAAATGAAAAACAATCAGTGGTTTATAATACATAATAGATTGAAGATAATCTCTGCAAACATATTCTGGATATTTTATAGACCATATTGTTAAATGTCACTATTAATATATCTGCATTAATGTCTATGAATAAAGGATGGACATGCACACAACAAACACAACCAAAAAATGTTCCAAACTTTGGAGATTTCAAACTGCATTTATTTAAGATGATTATACCATTGTTAATTTTAATAAAACTGAAAATTCAGCCAATAAACATTTATTTGAACTGTACTTACTAATGTTACATACAAAATCATAAGTATTGGATTAAAGCAAAAACAAATGTGGGTGGCTTTCTCCATGAATTTGTCATTATATGAGTATAACAAAATAAGTTTTGTTCTCTCTCTCATTAATGGTTTATTGAACCCTTGAAGCTTGTTTAGCCATTCCCAGTTGTAGGATAAACTTAAGTGAAAATGACTGAACATCATCTATCATCATGCCACTCTTTCTCCTTAAATGAGGATTCTTTATAACATTAGTTTAGTATTAATCTGAATGCAGTTTGTACATCTCTGTCCTTGCTCTTATGTGCCAATGAATCAAACGTACATGGAGATGTGCATTTTGGTTAAGTTTTAGACATAATAATTCCAACTACTCTCCATTAACAGCCTCTCACAAGGAGTTGTCTTATTTGGGGTTTAGATGGATTTGGTTCTTTATGCTGTATTTTTCCTTCAACGTTCTTGGGGAAAGACACAATAAGTTGTGAGGTGGACGAACACATTGTTGGTTTGGGCGGCTATCTTGACAAGGTTTTATGCGGGCTAGTTTAAAGAAGGATAATTATTTGATGGAATTTCATTCTCAGTGATAGAAGATGAGGTGCGAGTGGGATTATTTATTAGCGGTTCAACTAGTGTGAAATATTTGTTTATCTTTAATGGAAAAATACACAGAGACCAAAATGTGTCAATACAAATCATGTGCATATCTACATTTGAGTAATTTATCTACAATTACATTATATATAACATATTATTTGGCCAAAACTGTTATCCATATGTTTGAGAACTAAATGATAAAAGATGATTCCAAACGTCTTTTCTGTGTTGCAGAAAGCCGGGCAGGTAGCTTCATTTTGCCAACATTGCTTCTACTCAGCCTGTAGTAGGTCTCTGATCCTAGGAGATAGCAGAAGGAAAAACTATGCTAGGAAAAAAGTTCTGCATAAATGTAGATCCTCCAATCACATAATATATTTGTATAATTCTTTTACACAAGTGCCAAAGGTAATGCCACAGCACACTCCCATCAACATTTCTATATCTTTTAGATCCAGTCCAGAGGTGGGTTCCTACCAATTCGGATTGGTTCGGCCGAGTAGGTAGTAACTCAGCCTGCCATGCCCCTGAACCGGTTCTATCGGCCATCTTGATTTTTGGTTCTGCGCATGCACAGAACAATCTTCATTGCAAAAAATTAATTTTTTGCCTTTTCTAACATTGTGCACTTGCGCAGACCTTTTTAGGTGCAAATGCGCATGCACGCGGAGCTGGAAGTAATGTCGGCAGGAACCCACCCCTGATCCAGTCCATGTGTTACACCAATTAACACAGAAATCAACAGTTTTAGGTAGCTTAACCAAAGACCTCACTTAGTTTAGAGCTACAACTTAAAAAGGTATTTATTCAGTGCAATCCAGTACATATGCATTATTTACTGATCAGAATGTCTTATTGAATCATAATTGGGCTTATTTCCAGGCAAGCCTGTCTAGGATTGCAATATTAGTTAATTCATTAATGGGGCTGGAAAATGAAAGGACACTAGTTTATTTTTTTAGGGTACCTTAAATGCCATAAGAATGTAATTGGTGCAAGGCGATTGACATGTTCCCACGATTGGAGGTAAAGCCTAGAGGTAACACCAACAGGAATCTTTTATTGATAGCATTTTAACCTCCATCTTCAAATAGCTAAAGAAAAGCAAAAAATAAAAGAAATCTGGACTGAGATGTCGAAATTATTTCCATGCTTCATACTTGGAGTGCTTCCTCTGGTGGACGATTGATTTGTTAAGTACTATCAATGTTAAGCAAGAAATAGAAGTTTCCAAACAATTGGATTTGAGATCGTGGAAAAATACATGTGGTGATTACTTTTTAATTAAATATTTTATTTGGCCGCATCCAGTATAATAAATACAAGGTCCTTTGCTGTAATTCTGGCAAGCTTTCTTCCTGGGAGGTTCTCCCTTTCGACTGTCTGCCTTTCTAAAGTGGCTTGACAGGATTTGCTATTGTCTCTTTGGATTAGGACAGAGACCTTACCTTCTAACTGCAGCGATGTTTTCTGCAGCACAGGAAACTAGAATCAAAACCCCAAGCTACAATTAAGAAATGGAACTGGGAAATGCAGCGAATTAAAAAGTTGCAGCTTAAAGGCAATCCATATGTTAGCAAATGCTTTCCAAATGATCTAGCCTCGACCCCCTGAGTTGCAGAAGGGAGGGGGGACTGGATGGGGCTCCAGATTGCATCTATGATCTGTAGATTTTACTTAGCTCCAGCTCTGCTGCGGTGTGGCATGACCCTTATGCCAGGGGTCGGCGCACTCACCCTGGGGGAGTGAGCATGGAAGAATGGCAGCTCCCCCTCCCTCGGACCCAGTGTGTGGGGTCTCAGCTCTGAACTGCTAATTAAACTCATTCACAGTTCCAACATTGCAGCCCCCATAGCCAAAAATCAGCTTTCTATCACTCCAGCACCCCTTGAGACCACACATAAGCAGGCGGCATCCCAAACCTTTGCATGAAAGCAGGAAAACTGAGGAAATCATAACGGGGTAAGATGCAAGCAGAAAGAAAGGTGTTATATACCCCTGAAGAAGGAGGAGAAAGAGCAAGGAAATCCTGGAGTTAAGCAAGAAGGGGCTAAATCCAGAAAAATTAATTTCTGCAATCCATATAAAACAAAACGACCAACCCCAAATACAAGTTTCCTAGTCCAATCCTCTCATGGCAACCAGCTGCAAACAACAACTAATTTAATGCAGTTACACTTCTGTCAAAAGATGCATTCCACCTATTCGGAAGGATCAGAAAAATATTTCATTAGACAACCACTCTTTGAATAGATAGAATATTTCAGTTTGCTGTCACCTTTTATGCCACAATATAATATAGTACACCACAATTCAGATGAAGGCATTAAAACTGATTATTAATATTGACATATGAATATGAATAGCAGCACCACAATTAAGTCGTTTTAGGCCTAGATCGAATGACTGTATACTCTACCCATTTCAGATATGTAGCTAGATCTCATCCAGAAATATTGTAGCTAAGTCATTTTAGATTAATTAATAACCCCGTTCTCTGGAAAAGCTTCTAATGCTGAGAAAGGTAGAAGAAAAAAGAAGAAGAAGAACAGCAGCAAGGTATATGGTTACAGAGGCTATGGGTGCACTATTGGGACACATGAAAGAACAGCTTAGGGAGCAAAATCTATGTTGTCATTAGGAGTCAAATAGCTTGGTGGTACATAATTATTTACTCATAAAGAACAAAGCATTTTTTCTGGAAAAAAACTATTTCAACGATCTCATCTTGTGGACATTGTTCAGTCTATATAATATAAGGTAAAACTTTTGGTAACTTCATTGAGACTTCTATGTAGGATGAATATCAGAAGTTACTTGCCACACAATTTTTGCATGTACAAAATTTCCATTTTCTTAAAAGAACCATGTTGCCTCTCTTTTTCCACCTGAGAAATAGACAGACAATGCAAGGGATCCTGAGGGAACAAAAGAACAATGTATTTTTACTATGTTCCATCCAGCCTTCTCTCTCACCAAATTACATTTTTTCTCAGATCTAACTTTCATCATGGAAGCAATATCTTGATGCAGTATAAATTTCTCACCATAGACATTGTTGAATTTTGATCCTGCCTTTTCTCCAAGAACTAGAAGCCTCGTGAGTTCTCTTTAACTAAGCTATACAACAACCCTGTGTCATAGGCTGGATTGAGAGAGAAAGACTAGATAAAAGTCACTGAGTTTGCACAATTGATGATGGACTTTGAACTGAATCTCTCCAGTCCCATTACCACACCTTAAATACTAGGCTATGCTGCTTCTCAAGTCATGCATCTAGATCTTTCTAGATGTAAAGATTTTTATTCTCTGTGTGTAAACGAAGATGTATAAGTTAAGAATATGTCATCGAAATAGTATTTAAATAAATGTTTCAAAATGCCAATTTACCTTCATTTCTTCACATTTTATTTTTCTGAATGGTCACATATTGAATTTTTGACATACTGGTACTAATTCATGTTTAAACAGGAATTTTATGTTTGTCAAAACTGATAATAAAATATGAATGTATTATTAAGTTACTACTAAAACAAATATTTAGGGCAAGCCTTTGCAAACATACTAGAGATTGATTACTGTAGATCCCTAAATTTGCTTATCCATTCCTACAATTTGCTTTTGTGTGTAGGCTGAATTTCATTTTGTAAATTATTTAACATGCCTTCTTTTCCTGGATATAACAGTTTCATATATCAGCAATACTGTAGAAAGTTGATTGTAATATGTATAGTTAGAATAAAGGAATTGAGATTTGATTCAGGATCAGTTGATTCCTGCTACTGACTTGAAATTTCTCTAGCTCATCAGATGCATTTTTCCTAAATCATCACAGCTGTGACATAAAATTGTCCTTGAAATAGGATTACTCATGGGGTCTAAGACAACTCACTGGGACCAACTTGCTGTGGCCATCTTGCCATGGCTATCTCACTGCAGCCAACTCACCATGGAATAACTCACCAAAGACAATTCCATGTGGAATAACTCAATACAATAAATATTATCCATTATTTATTTGCCATCATTTCCATTGACAAAAATGAAAATAATGTCAAAAAATTAGTGCCAGATATTTATCGCATTGAGTTATATCACGTGAATTGACTGTGGTTTGATGTCCCACAGTGAGTTGGCCACAGCGAGATAGCTGGATGAATTGTCTCTTTCTGTTAATCATATAGATGTGGTAATAATGGTATTGTATTCAATATCAGTAAAAATTAAATAACAGTACGGCTTAAAATATTACTGTAGACATGTAGTCTTTGAGATGTATTTACATTCTGAAAATCCTAGTTTTAATCTGCCTTAATATTTCTGGCACTTCATTTGGAAAGAACACCATATTACTTACTACAGAAGACCTGCTTAGAAATTGCCTCTATGTCATTCAAAACATGATAATATAATTAAAAAGAAACTAACTCTGAAAATTAAACATATGTTCAGCATAACTGTCTTTCATACAGTTAAGACTATGTCGTGAATCTATCCTTATTCTAATAATATCACTACCATTAACAAGCAAGTACAGCAATTACCACTGTTTCTTTTAAAGGATTTTGAATGTGGTCAGAACTCGCCATTACACATATAAAGAAATGTAATAATGATAATGATCTCATCCACCTGGTAGATTTTTTCTCTGTTTATTTGACTTGGAAGAATATATGATTAGCATTCCCATAAGATATACTATTTCTATGCTGTGCCATTACAGACTGTAGAAATTTGTTTTATTTCATGACTTACTATGTTTACAGCTCATCTTTTCACAAAAATTACTCAACAATTATCTTAACCTATTTACAGATTAAGAGCAGCAGTAAAATTCTCAAGCATCAAAAAGAAATGGAATACACGAAGTAGCCAGCTTTTTGAAGATAAACAGATGTGAGTCTATATTTGGATGGAAGAATACCTGGGAATCTCATAATTTTGAATTATCTGGTGGAAGACAGAAGAAGTTTTACTATTTTCATGTCCTTGTTAGCTGTGCAGTCCCAAGGCAGTTGACTGATTCAGTTCCCTTCTGGGTTAGGAAAATATTGTTCTTTAAAATAGAGCATGGTTGCTAATTCAACTGGTAGGCCAGGCCAGAAGTTTTCCAGAATACTATGCAACTAATGCTGTATAGAAAAGAAGAAAAGGAGGTAGCAGTAGTAGACAAAATAGTTGATTCTAATACAAATATACTCTTAAGCTACAGTAACCCCAAGGAATTCTCTACATAAATACTGATAATTAAATTCTATGCTTTATTTGACAACACAATACTTAAGTGTTAGAAATGAATGTGTTTTTCCAAGGAATATGATCAGCCTATGAAAATGTGCATTTCTTTTTACAGTAGTGTTCCTATCATTCAGTAAATAATTATGAAAGTTGTGGGATATTTTTGGCCTAGGTCAAGTACTCTTCAAGGAAAAAAAACATGCTAATGTGAGGAAATTAGTACAATGTCAAATGTCAAGGACTACAGAATAGCTGTTGAATATATACTTACTAAGACTCTTCTGGGAAGAATTGACATAATTACATGCTCTTAGCAAAAATTACAGTTGTTTGGTTTACTAGTAGCAATTTCAAAGTGAAGCATGGAAAGTGCAAACATTCTGGGAATGAAAACTGTGTGTCTAGATTGATCATGGTATTAAAATCATTTCGTAAATTTACTTGCTGATTTGCTCTTCCAAACATTCCATACATGACAATTGCTTATTTTGGTGTGCCTTCTGCTTATAAATAGCAGCAAATTCCCAGATGATTTTCAAATTTGAAGATGGATTTGATCATAAAAGATCATTGTCTTGGAACTCAGCTCTGTCAGTTGACTGTAGTTAAATTTAGGATTAATTTTAAGGTGCAAAGGTGAAATGAAGGAAACCCACTGCTCAACAGTTCCAGCCTACCAACTGTTTGTTTAGACTGACTTCTCAGGCAGGTTCAGAAATATATATATATTAGAAAGTTGATGCAATTCTTTCAAAGTGTGAGCTACTATGATGACAATGGCCAAAACTAAGATAAAGCTATTTTATGAGTAAAGTTTGGAAACAGAATTGTTTCCTTGTTGTGGATTGCAGTGCAAGTAAAAAACACAATGAGGGACAGATCATGATGGGAAAAATATGTGTGGGAACCAGTATTTGACAGCTTGATGGCACGTAATGAAGAAACAGAATAATGGTCATTAATTGGTCAGTAATCAGTGAAGGCAAAAAACAAAGCAGAAATATTTAGTCAGTCCAAATGAGTTCTTGAGATTTACTGGCTCAAGAGAGGGCAGTATTATAATTCTACATTTTTTTATTCAAGGCCTAGCAGCCTGTGTCTTGACAATGGGCAATACAGATATTTATTCCAAACATTAATATTTCTTGGAAGAGAATTTAGAAACTTGAAAGTTTTGTGTACATGTATTACTTGCAAAGTTAATTAGCATATGCATTTAGGTAAATTGGCTGACCACAAGAAATATGGGAAGATAAAAAGAAGTATTCTGCCACAGTGCTCTCAAATCTGTTTGAAATCCACCCTTTTTTTTCTAAATTGTTGCTTTGTATCTCCATTTTGACATCCATACTCACTTCCAATGTTGTTTCACCAGAAATGTACCATAGATCAGATTTTGGTTTTTAAAAAAAGCCTTTTTTAATACCAGGAAGGATGTTTCTGTCTTCCTCTTTATATTGTCAAGCAGTTTTAATCATTTGGAGGTCAATAACCATCAAACACTGTTAATTTCCAACAAATTATCTAATCCAGATGGTTGAACAATTTGGATAAACATTGGACCCAATAGGATCATAAAATAAATAAGCATGAAACAGTTTAAGGTTTCAGCTCTCGGCTCACCTAACCTAGGACCTCTGCAAGCTTCCCATCTTTCCAAACAGGAAAATGTAAATACGGTAATATGTAGCACGTGTTTGCAACGGGATCAACTTTCTGCTAGCATGGTGAAAGCCCACACACATAACTGCCTCAAGGGAGGTAAACTTCATTTAGATTAATATGTTAATCATGAACCAGGCCTAGTCTTTTTCCCTCCCTACTCTGTTACAGCTATTCAAAAATATGAATAAAGTAACAGGAAATAAGGTGTTATTCAATAGAATTGGGTAGATTATTTTTACATTTCAGGCAAGAAAATGATAAGAATGCTAGTAATTTAGAGGATTGGATATAATAATGTAAATTTTTAAACTTTGTAATTCAGAAATGGTTCATGATACTTCATTTGAAATATATGCATCATCTGATTTTAGTTTAGTTAATTTTTCTAGCTTGAATTTAAATTATAAATAAATAAATCTGAACATTATTCTTAACTCAGTTAAGAATAATGCAGTTACTTGATCTTTGTTACAGAGCATAATAAAATAGGAGGAAGTATTTTTTATGTATGTTATCACAGTCAAAGTAAAATAATGTTCTTTTGTGTCATTATACCAGACTGAGAGTATGTTCCTATTTGCACTTATGTGTTTGTGTATTTCTATGTCAAACATGCATCAGGATGGGGTGCAAGTAATGTCAAATCAAGCCACAGTCTATGGGTTGGCTTTTGAATTTATTACAGTTTGAAAACATCTGTCAAGCACTTTGTGCTCCAGTTGTTGTCCTTTAAGGAATCTGGTATCCTTTTATCTTATAGGATCACATGGCAGTTATTTTGAACAGTTAATGGTTTTCAGATGGGCAACTAGATCTTAGAAAATGCAATTTTCTGTATAACCATGGTAATACAAAAACCAGCATAGTAACTGAAGAAGGGAAGTCAAAAGTTGACAAGATGGTTTATTGGGATTCATTTTTAATGGTATCTGTTGACCTGAAAACAAAGTAAGATCATTTTTACTCATATCTGAGGAAAAAAGAAAAAAAGTGTTTTAAAACATTTTTAAACAGTATTAAAATAGCCAAAGAAAAAAATCATCTCTTCTTTGCTTTGCCTACTTAAAACAAGGCTGTATTTTAGCAAAATAAAATGAGGTTAATAATCTATCAGCTGAAGGATTTTTAAAAAATTTACTTCCATTTTAATTGGGATGACATAAGTTAAACAACATTCTCTCTCTCTCTCTCTCTTGAATATGTATATATGTGTTATAGCAATTTCAACCAAACTTGGTATATAGATGATTTGCTCTCTGGAGAAAAATACTGTGGGGGTAAGACACCTCTAACACCCCTCGGTGTGTGTGTTCTTTTAAGATGCAGCCTATTGTGCCTTTCAATGGCTTCTACTGTACTGCCGTAAAATGGTTTCTACTGTACAGCACAGTGGAGTTGTCATGGTAAGGGCTTCACAGTACTCCACAAGGGGGCTCCCTCGGGTAAGGGGTAAAATCCAACATTAGAAATTACATTTGGTCTGGACATTTCCCCATATAAATAAATACCTGGGCAACGCTGTGCTTCGGTGTGTGTGTGTGTGCGCACGTGCGCATGTGCGTTCGTGTGTGCGTGTGCATGCGCACGTTCAGTATCCAATTCTTAATCTTGATAAAGAAGAAATTAGCTTTTACCAGCAAAATGATCATAATGATGATAACCCCCAGAAGTGCACTGATAAAAGACAAACTTTTTTCATCATTAGCATTCCTATTACAAGGCCATTAACTGTTATAGGATGTTATCTTGAAACATTACTATTATATTTCTATCTTGCCTTTTTTATTATCAATAGTACTGGATTTTCATTTTCCTTATAAAACCAAATGGCAGCAATTTATTTATAAGTAGCAAGGTGAAAGATACTACATGGAAATAATGTGGCATCAGGGATTTAATCTCAAAATCTATTCATATCTGCAGAGAGAATTCTATCTCTTTAATCTGACTTTGGTGATTAAATGGTCTAGAAGGAAAAAGCCAAGACTCACTCTTGTGGATGATACATGAAAGAAGGAAATGGGGTGCAAGTCCCTGGTTATTGTTAGCAGGGTGCAGACTTTTGAGCCTGCCTCATCTACATTTCTTGGAAAAATACATGGGAAAATTCCATTCACAGAAAATCCATTTAGGATTAGGATTAGGTCCCCATGAACTCATAGAGCAAAATGGACATCGCCATTGGATTCAGAGCTCATCGGTGTGGTTAGGAATGTACGTAGGTTTCCCAGAGGTGGGTTTCAAAAATTTTTACTACTGGTTCGGTGGGCGTGGCTACATGGGGGGTCATGTGACTGAGTGGGCGTGGCCAACCTGAGCCACTCACAGCCACTCAGTCACATGACCCACTCACCAAGCCATGCCCACCGAAACGGTGGTGAAAAGTTTTGACAGAGATGGGGGCTCCAGCCTCGATAGAGCTAAGGGAGCAGCTGCAAACTACCCAGCAAGAAAAAGAGTTTTTGTCCTCCCCGCCCCCCAGGAACACTCTACAGGCTTCAGCAGGGCTGGGGAAGGCAAAAACACCCCCATTTTTGCAGAAAATGGGCTGTTTTTTACAAATTGGGAGCATTTTTCCCTTCTCCCAGCCCCACTGAAGCCTGCAGAATGCTTCTGGAGGCAGGGGAAATGCAAAAACACCTCCATGTTTGCGAAAAACAACCCATTTTTCACCCATTTACCTCAAAAACAGGGGCATTTTCCCCTTCCCCCAGCCCTGCTGAATCCTGCAGAGTGCTTCTGGAGGCTGGGGAAAGGCAAAAATGCCTCCGTTTTTGCAAAAAAAAAGCTCATCTCGGAAACCTCTCTGGGACTGGCATGTGTACACCATTAAAAAAAGGGGGGGGAATACATTTTTTCAATGAAGATTTTTCTGTGCATGTGCAGAACAGAAAGTAAAGATGGCAGCACCCAGGATATAACTGGTATGGTCACATGTCCAGCTGAGTTACTACCTATTCAGCCGAACCCATCCGAACTGTTAGGAACTCACCTCTGAACTTTCCGCCGTTCTAACTATACCGAT